AATTTCTGTGCGTGAAACAAATCAGAACAAAAATGCATCGACCAGTGACGTGAATTGTATGAAGGAAATTATCGAGTGAAGATTATGAAAACATGAAAAAATTTATCGATGTTTACTGATCTGATTAATTGAATTGAATAAAAGTGAGTACTGATATGAAAAGAATATTTCTTCGCGAAAAAATTTCATTTCATGCTTAGAAAATCGCTCCTCATGATGTCGAGAAGACTGGCGATGGTGATCACGAGAATATTCATCAGATTAAAGTGGATGTTGTGGTTGAGTATCTCCACTACTGCATGCGCTTGATACGATTGATTCGGTTTGTGACACAACCGTAGAAATTGAGTTCCATTCCTGTTGTGACTGAATTTGGTAGTTTGCAATACCTGAAGATGTTCTTGGAGTAATCCTAAGGCCGTAATCTTGATGTTATAGTTTAAAATTTGGGCACTGTTTGGGCACATTTGCAATATTCTAGGAGCTTTTCACATCTATAATTCACACTGTTCAACTAAAGCTTCTGAAGTTTACGACAAAAATAGGCTCACAATACGTTTTTCAATGAAAAGTATCCTTTTTTTCAGGATTTCTTCCGTATTTTCCAAAATTTCTTCATACCACCTGAACATTTTCAAAGATCTACAGTTATTTTTCATAATGCATCGAAAAATCACTTCTAAAACAATAAATCTTATAAGTAATTCATAAAGTTTTTAGATGTTGTTAAAGGAATCTTAAAGTATTTCATAATGGAACCAAAATGAAACGCGCGAAAATTTGCCGCCATTAGCATAGCACGAGGCTTAAAAGAGAAGAGCTAAGTTAGTCACTCATTCAATGTTTTACGTTTTCGAAGATGTGTGCGTTTTGTGGTCTGATGGAAAAAATGGAATGACATCGGATTTTGCTGGGCTTTCACCATACAGACAGGTAATTTTTCAGTGGCTACAGAGTATTGACATCTATCAAATGCTTTCTTAGAGCGCAAATGCTATGGTATCCGTATATGACGGTAGATTTTTTTAAAATCACAGTAATCGTTGAATAAAGAATGCTTATTTTAAAGGAATTTTTACAAAATCAAGGACAAATTTGACCTGCCAGCTGAACTCAATGTTTCGAGTTACTTAGCCGAGAGTGATATCGCTTTGGATTTTCCGATGGAATTGGTGGACTTTTGGGACTGGTGTTCCTACAATTCAATTCAAGGTGCTTTTATTCAACGTTGATCAACAATTCCAGAAGTGTTGCCTTCTATCAGGTTATTTTTATGTTGCATTCGTTATGGCTTTTCTTTAAGGACACGCTTGCTTTCACTTGCATTTTTTTGGGGACTGCAGAGGATTTTTCAGGAATTGAATTTAAAATCAACACTGATATGGTTAAAGATGTTCGATTCTTCAATAATATTTTGATTGAAGGTTGTGGAACCCAATCATTTTAAAACTAAAAAATCAGTAAACATAAAATTCCGATGCCACTTCACTAGAAATAAATATACAAAATTGCATGCAAATTAAAATTCTGGTTTATGTAAACGATTTAATTTTTCCATCTCCATGCAAGAAAACTGACAAGAAAAATTAACCTGAAATGGACCTTGCTGCACCTGAAACATTCTAATCTGATGAATACCGATTAGTGGAGGACTCATGAAGCGGATCAGGTTTCAACACTGATAATTTTCATGAAATATTCAATGGGGCGTAATATGGAAAATCCAAAATGAGTGCAATTTATAAACATGATTCCTGAAGACAGAAATGAAAAGTTTTGTTATCATGATGACCCAGAATGCTACAAGTTTGTGAGCACTTAATAATTACTGTGTATTTATCGGTGAATTTTTCAATGAACATTGCAAAGATGCGGTTTTTCCTCCACTCAACGTATCATTTTCTGATATCATTCAATAACTAAAGCCTGCATCAACGAATCTTGAATGTTAATAGTCCACTGGAGAGAGAATTCAGAATGTTGAATTGTTATCGCCAATCTATCGGTATACGCATTCTAACGAGATAAGGATATCATCGCCAAGATTTGCCGTTTTAATGAACAGTCAGAGATTTTCATGAAAATTTAAATTGTGTAGGCATATTGGCATATATTGTGCATATATTACCAAAGTACCCTTCCATGC